AGTACACAATTATGTTAAAGGTGTCTGCTGCTCTCCCTTATTTGTCTTTCAGCTGCCGTGCTAATTCAAACAAATCATGTTTCCGACGTTGCGCTTGATATTAGGTTAACATGAATATACGAAAATAACTGTATATCTCTGGCTCTTCGATTATTTGGGACTACACATGTGTAATGTCTGCGAAAAAGATAGGAGCGTTTTAACCACCATTGGAGAATTTGCTGTGACATTTCATTCATGGCATTAAAACTCTGAACTGTGTGCTGATGACAATACACTTGAGCAGGTTTCTTTGTTCCACCTATTCTTCTAAGACTTACTTTTCTTTTAATAATAAAAAAAACCTGTACATACTGCGGCCATATTGTTGGCGTCATACCTGATATCATAAGGATGATGATGGGTTGGAGTGGCAATGGGTGCAATAGGCTGTTTCAGGCACTTTATTTTTGGGTTCCTTTCCGTGATCAATTGCTGGAGCACTATGCAACCAATAGATACAGCAGAGATGTTGAACAGAGCATACTAATTTGCCAGGCTCACTACGGGATACAGTAGATTTGCCGAGTGCCAGGCCCCAAAAACACTCGGCAAAGAACACACGGTGTATATTTTAACGGCAAAGAGCTCTTTGCCGAGTGTCAATCATCGGGCATTCGGCAAAGACTTAAACACTCAGCAAAAATAAACTCTCGGCAAAAAAAGGTTAATGGGATGGCACGGTGACGGCGCTTTTGCCGAGTGCACGACGGAAACACACACCGTCCTGCTTCTTCATAGCGTGTTCTACTAAATTTGTTACGATGGACTTTGAAAGTACCTAGTCAAATTCACTTAACAATGCATATTTGATTTTTCTACCAATATTATTCTATTATTTTATGCGGTTATAGCTCAAATTCAATTTATATCAATTAAAATTCTATAATTGCAGTTAATAAATTAAAATTATCAAACGGATCAAAAAAATTCCCAAAATTTGACATGGACCAATCTATGTTGTCTATTGCCTATACAAAAAGTTTTGAAGTCAAACCCCAATTCAACCGTCACTTTGACTCCAAATCTTACCAGATCCTTGTCAACTCCTTATTTTTCGTCGGAGATGCTTCGGTTTGTAAGCGTCGTACATGACAAATTGTGCGAAACCTTCTCAATTTTTTTCCATAGTCTCCACGTATGATATCAGGAGATCTTGACAAATCTCGTCATTTGCAGACTTCGTTTGCTTTTTTAGAATTTAAAAATCATTCGGCTATTTCCTGAACAAAATGTTCGAAATTTCTTTTCATTTTCCGGGTATGGCCCCAAAATGGACTCAATAATATGAATATGATTTCTCCACTCAATTTATTCCATTATTTGAATCACTTGCGGTTCAAATTTGATTTTAACAAAAAAATTCCTCTAAATGCAATAAATTAATTAAATATAGCAAACAGATCGAGAAATATGCCAAATTTTAACATGCAGTACCACATGTTGTATGTGGAGAGTAGAAAAAGTTTGGAAGGCAGGAGAGAAAAAAAATTATTATTTTACCGAGTGCCAATAAAAAACACTCGGCAACAACATTATTTTGCCGGGTGTCAATAAAAAACACTCGGCAAACCTTGTCTTTGCCGAGTGTCTCTAACGGACACTAGGTAAAGTTCTAATGGTAGGGCGGCGCACCCAACGGCTGTCACACGGCCGCCGCACGCCCAGCGCACGTGCCTGTACTTTGCCGAGTGTCCGTGTTTGCCGAGTGTTTCGTTATAGTTTGCCGAATGTTTTTTATTAGGCACTCGGCAAAGTTGGGTTTTGCCGAGTGCTATCTATTTGTCGAGTGTTGAATTCAAAATACTCGGTAAATAGGATATTTGCCGAGTGCCCGATGAAATGCACTCGGCAAACCCTCAGGCACACGGCAATTATACTGTTTCCGGTAGTGGCTGATCTGTTCTCAGCTACAGCTATTGGTCCTAACTCCTAAGTAGTGACTGTTATTTATTTTCTCAACTTCTTGGATATCCTGCACCCTATAGGGATCAATAGTATAGTTAAATAATCACAATTTATCCTCACCAAAACTGTCTCAAAGATTATTGCAATTGTATCTATGATTTTCTTACAATCTAAAACAATAGTTTTCCAATTTGTTTTTTACACAGACTCTATTAAGGCTGTTGTATAGTTGGCTGCTTGGATCTAGATTTTACGGGTGCATTTGGTGCGCTTGCTAGCTTTGCTCGCTTGCCTCGCCGAGCCTTGCCCAGAGCGGAGAGCGGAATTGGCTCGCTCGGCATGGCGTGGGAAAAGCTTGATTGCACAGGCCTCGAGATGAACGGCAAAAACAACCAAACGTCTAGGCGAGGCGAGACGGCGCAAGGGTACCAAACAGCCCCTTACGTCGCCCCATTCTGCTCACCTGCCTAAAAAAAATGTAGTCCAGATAAAGTAAACACAAAAAAAATAGTAGATTCCCAATTACCTTTTTTTACATGGGCTCTATTAAGACTGAGGTGTAGCCTTTATCCTTTACGTACTTATAATGAAGTAGTTAACTTAAAATCTTAACATATGCTTTTATATTGTCATAAACAGAAAATATGTTGACCAAAGTCATGTACTCAACCAATCACTAACTTTAATTCACCTGCGGCAACGCGCGGGGTGGTGGCTAGTATATAAAGAAGCTTATGCCAGTTGATAGTTCCTTGTGTCAATGGAAGTTTACATTTACCGGTAATTATATATTTTTTCATGATACAGAGATAAGTGTACATATCCAACATGCAACATTATATTTATGTATGCAATGTAAGCATCTACGGTTGTACTGACTATTGAGTACAGTTAAAAAAAATAGCGCATAAACAAATAATGGATCGGAAATGCCATGGTCAGGTGTCCGATTCTCCGGACGTTCCGTTCGCGGACCGCGACACCAGCCCAACGGCCCAACACTCGTATCCTCTCGTCCACTCGCCTCTCTAACCATAGCCTGCTGTCTCCGTTCTCCAGGAGGCTTTCCACTAGCGATAAAAAAGAAGGCTTTCCACCACAGTGTCACAACCATGATTCACCGTGAACTTAATGGCACGCCGCCTCGACAATATTCTCCACAGCGTCCTTGGGCCTGCCCGCCAGCATCTCCACCACGCCCGAGTGCGGCCGCCCGCCTTCCTCCATCTCGATCGCGCCTCCTGCCCGTCGCGGTCTTCTCCAGCGCGCGGACTGCCTTCTCCACCGAAGTGGTGACAGCTCGCGCAAGATCCGCCGCGGCCTTCTCCACCGGGAGCGGCCTTCTACATCGGACCTACCACGGTCTTCTCCACCGGAGCGGCGAGCTCCGCATCACCGGCAAGCTCTACACCGGTGAAAGCGCATGTTGCGAACGTATGTTTCAAGTCTTTCAGATGTTTCAGAGGTATGTTCTAAGTGTTTCATATGGATGTTGCAAAAATAGATCGGGATGTTGCACATGTTGCAATGTCTATACACGTATGTTGCAAGAGTTTGTTCAAAATGTTTCATCTGTTTTTTCAGACGTAAGTTGCAATTAATTGTATGTTGCATATGTTTCACACATATGTTGTAAGTGTTTTATATGTATGTTGCATATGTTTGCAATGACTTTCAAGTGTTTTCAGGTGTTTTTGCAAGTGTTTCAGATATATGTTCAAGTGTTTCCGCTGTTTCGAATGTATGTTGCAAATGTTTTATTTAGATGTTGCAAAAGTAGATCAGGTATTGAACATATTACAAAGCGCGTGAAAAGCGGACGCAGCGCGAGTGGTCTCCACACGTAGTCTGGTGGTGCAGGCCCCGCGTGGGCGCGCGAAACGCAGGCACAGGCGGGGACTTGCTAGTGCGAGTGCGGATGTAGAGTGGAGGCGTGCGCGGGAGACGAAGCGCAGGCTCGGGCTTCCGGACATGTGTCCGGACGGACCAATGATGTATAGGCATGGATCGCAAGCATCATATCGTGAACGATCTGGCATTTCTGTGAAAAATATATACATATGCATGAACCGCAAGAAGAATAAAACGATCTGGGGGTGGCGTGCTACTCCTCTTCCTCTACTATCATATAAGCTTCCCGGCCGCACTTCAAGAGCACGTCGCAGCGAATTAATTAGAATACAAGGGTTTGATCCAGCACGTATGGGCTGCTTAGCGGCGGCGCCGTCGTGGCATCCCTCTGCTGCTGCTGCGTGGTGCTCGCCGTCGTCCTCGCCGGGAAGCCAGCGGCGGCAGCTTCGAGAGGACCGTGTTCCAGCTAGTGAACGCCGCCATCAGAGGCAACTCCACCGACGTCGCCGGCGACCCCCCGCGTCGGCCCCGCTCTTATCCGCTTGCTTTTCCACGACTGCTGGGTAAATGTACGTCACGTAGGCCATCCTTCTATTCAATATCTATGTCAGCTTGTGGCTTGTGCAGCCAAGAAATGAATGATATATCGTCTTCGTCTCGTTTAATTTAGGGCTGCAATGGATCCGTGCTCCTGGACGAGATTCCCGCCGACGGGACCGCCACGGAGAAGAAGGCGGCCAAGAGCATCGGCCTGGGCGGCTTCGACGTGATCGACAGGATCAAGGCAGAGCTCCTCCATGCCGGCGGTTGACGACGACGCCTCGTGCGCCGACATCCTGGCCTTCGCGGCGCGCGATGCGGCGTACATCCTCAGCGGCGGGCGGATCAGGTACGCGGTCCACCGCGGCCGCGGGGACGGCGTGACGTCGTCGGCCGCCGCCGCCGACGCGGCGCTCCCGTCCCACGCGCCCTCCGACGGCTTCGCCGAGCTGGAGGCCAGCGTCGCCGCCAGGGGCTTAGGCAAGGGCTACCTCGCCGCGCTCTCCGGCGCGCACGCGGTCGGCGTCTCACACGGCGCCTCCTTCGCGGACCGCCTCCGCCCGTCGGTCGCTGCCGCCGGACAGATCAACGGCACGTACCAGCTAGCCCTCGCCGCGCGGCAGAAGCAGCAGCTGCTGCTGAATTCGACGGCGGCGGAGAGCATGAGCAACAACGTCCGCGACACGGATCCGGCCTTGCGGGCGGCGTCCAGCTACAGCGGCGTCGGGGTGGACACGGCGGCCAGGGGCGCCTTCGACAACAGCTACTACGCGGCCAACCTGCAGAATATGGTGCTGCTCAGGTCCGACTGGGAGCTCACCCAGGACGACGACACCCTGGCTCGTCTTGTCCAGTACAGGGACGACGACGACAGGTGGAGCGAGGACTTCAGCAACGCCATGGAATGGCACAGCGACCTACGGCCACCCATGGGGGCGCGTCTCGAGATCAGGAAGAACTGCAGGCTCACCAACCTGAGTCCAGGACGGGCAGTCGTGCACGCGCTCAAACATTTCTTGCAAAGACGTTACAACCAGATGTCTTGTTTGTTAAACTTTTTCAATGCAGGGTTTGTGTGATAATCAGGATTTTTGGAGACATTGTATATTTAAAACTAGTAGAGTGGCCCGCGCAATTGCGGAGTTAGTATGGTTTTATTCTACATTCTTATATTCATGGTTACGTTCTTATATGAAACTAAAAAATAACTGGTTTTAGGAAAGCTACATATATGTATCCTTATACATTGAAGAACCGGTACAGGTGATCAGAGGGTGTGACTAGGAGCCTCAAATTTTCCTCGCCAAACAAGTGATATATTGGTTATATATGTCCCAAAATCAGCCTGAGCCCTCTCTTTTAGTACTCGTCAAGATCACGTAGTCACTGTTAGGAATTTAGACATTTTCATGTTTAATTTAATCCAAAAAAGAATAGCAGTTAATTCGTGACAGCAAATATGTGCACGTGTGAACTAGTAGTGGCAAGTATGATGAACGTACTGATCATGTTTAAGAGCACAAAACCTTACTGAACATAGAGGCAGTAAGATTAGAAGTATACCAGCGGAGGGACCCATACTCAAGGCACCGGCGGCTCCACGCGCACTAGTCGACATAGTGCGTTGCTTGATGTCGCGGACCACAGTTAATGCATGACGATGTTCGTAGTGCAGTCCCTTGAACGTCTACCGGGATGTAGACGATCCGAGGAAGAAGAAGACGACATCGGTAGTCACCAGGAAGAAACGAGCAGTCGCAGAGACGCTCCCCAAAAACCTGATCACCCGCACACCCGAGCAGATGTCGCTATGTAGACGGCGGTTTCGGAGGCCTGCTCTCCCAACACTTCGTGCGCGCAGTGGATTAGGACAGGGAAACTCGGGAGCAACTCAACGAAAGAACGATGGTGCTAGTTGTGCTGTATCTCGTACGCGTAGCTGAAGGCAAGCGCTCCTTTTTATAAGCACGGAAGGCAGAAGGTGAAGTGTAGATGATGAACCTAGACGTCATGAAGCGTCGATCAATTACTAGTAACCTTTGCCATAAACATGGGGATTACTAGTAACTACAACCATAACCATGGAGTTATTAGTAACCGCAGCCATAACTATGACCATTACAAGTTCACCCATCAACAACATTCAGTCCACCATTTTATTGCACCTAGCATCTAATATGGCCTTAGAATTTATTTGGTTTAAGTATTAAATAAAATATGGGTCATACCCACATTAAATCTAACAATCCCCACTAAATTCTATGGCACATATGAAATGCTCTCAATTCTCTGTTGTTTAATATACCAGTGTTTCGATGGAGGCTGTTAAGTTGAACATCCATCTAGAACAGAGGTTACACTTCTTCGTAACTGAATAATGGACTATGTCTTGAATTGACAGTTTTGTGCGAAATAAGTTTCACCTAAGTCCTTTACTGATACTAGGTTGCCTAAAGCATCCACACTGGTTGGAGCATATAAGTCATACTCCTGGGACTTTCATGAGTATCTAGAGATCACCCAAATCTCATAGACTGTGACTAGCAGTCGAAGTCATATATGTGCATTCCTCAAAAGATGTTCTATATGACAACATTTTTGCTTAAGCAAGCCACTTAGAATACATTAAGGTAAAAACCAACCTGTCTTACAGTAAAGAAAAGACGTGCATCTTACATTGGCTTAGTTAAGGGTCTTTCCTCATAGTCTACCCCTGACTTGTTTCACCATTCTACTTCACGGGATCTCCGATCACATAGAACATGTTACCACCATGGTAGACTTCATGTGGCTCTCAGGTCCATCTCACTCGATGCACTATCTATCACATTACGTGATAGTCCTTTAGTGAATTGATCTGCCAGATTTTTAGACGTATGAACATAGTCCAATGCTATCACTTCGGAGTTTCTCAATTTTTCTGATAGATTTTAGCCACCGCTTAACATGCCTTGTGGACTACATGTTATCCTTAGAATTGTTTACCTTGATTATCACAGTCTGGTTATCACAGTTCATAGAAATAGCCGATATACGTTTTTCTACTACCAGTAAATCCATAAGGAGTTCATGAAGCCACTCGGCCTCAACGCCGGTGGTGTCTAATGCTATGAGTTCTGCTTCCATAGTTGACCTCGTTAAGATGGTCTGCTTGCAAGACTTCCATGAAACAACGTCACCTCCAAGCAGAAACACATATTCACTTGTGGCGTTGTAACACCCTCGGTGTTATACCCTAAATCATTTATTAAAACATGTCATGAGCATCATGTTTATGTGTTAGTGCATGTGATAAAGTGTGTAGATCAATTTCTTGTAACCTAAAATGAATAATAAAAATGTTAAACGAAAGTTGATTCAATAACTCATGTATATCAAGTAGGGTTTAAAACTAATTTTTATTGAACAAAAATGCTATAGAACATATAGGTGGCGCTTGAATAAAGATTGGAATATGAACTTTGTAATGACAATGAAATACTTGCTGTAAAAAAATAACATTGCTAGCCAACATTTCTAATAGCCTAAAAATACAAATTTGAATCAAGTTCAGCTCAAAAGACTTAGAATACTTTCAAGTATGTTGACAGTTAGATAATGCCATGTTTGGCAAATTATTTTGCAAAATCGGGTTAAGAAATGGTGTCATGTGTTAGCTCGGTTTGGTGGCCTCATATGCCATCTTGAGCACGGTGAAGATGGTTAAGGTCCAGAAGCAACCGTTTAGTTTTTATAGTCGCTTTAAAATTCATGTACAACACGGTCTCGGGCTGGTTGGCCGCGTGGGCACGGTCACCACGCTTGGGCGCTCGGCGTCGCCACGCTGGCTGTTCGGCGTGCACGCGCGCTGTCGTGCGTTGTCGGCCACGGCTACTCTGGCCTGGCTGTGGCCTGGCTGCCGCTGGCTCCTGGCGCGTGAAGCCGCCGCTGCTACTTGCGTAGCCAGGCGGTGCTGCCGCACTGCCGACCCGCCCCGCATCGTGACGCAACCACTGCTGGTGCCGCCGCCTCACCGTCATGTTCGTGCCTCCCTCTACATCGTTGCGCCGCTGCCGGCCCAGTGCGATGCCACCTCTGCCGTGCGCACGTGGCCGGGTTCGCTGTCGCCTAGTCATTGATGGCACTGTGGCACGTGGGCCACGCCGATCGTGAACGCATGTGTCTGTCTGCTAGCGCCTGGACGTGGGTCTCCATGGTTGTGCCGACCACATCCAGCCAAGGCGCGCACACGCCGAGCCACCGGCCGTACCCCACTGCTCTTTCTCTGTTTCTCATCTCTCTGCCGCCGTCGAGCCATACCCACGTGTGAGCTAGAGAGCGGTCACCTCTACTCAATTCCGCCCATCTGTACCTTCGCGCTCCTGTCTTCTCGTCGCCCGACCCCACACAGCCATGATGACGCACAGGCCAAGCGCCAATTTGGATCGTTTCCACCGGCGTGCCATTAAGGTCGCATCCGGTCATGGACGAGGGCAGCCCTGCTACCATCCCTCAAGAGCCAATTCACTTGCACCACTAGCTTCGCCTCGCCTCCCTCTGCACCTTACGCACGTCAGCGGAACCGTTACCGCCTCCCCATCATTGTTGACGCGACCGTGGCTCCACGGGATCCCGCCGCACGGCTCAGCCACACGTGGCCAGCCTTCCTCCGTCATCCTCCGCCCTAACCATCACCTTGGCCTGGTCCATGGTAGCCCCCTGATGGTCACGCGCTAACCAATTAGTCTTGTAGCTACCCTAGCTCACTGGAATAGTGGCACCGCCGTCACGGATGCCCGCGCGCCGCTGCAGCCTTCCCCAGCTAGTCGGGTCACCCCGCACCGCCACTTAGCATAGCCGCTCAGGTTAGAGATGGTGACCGGCCCGTTAGGTGGTCTGTCATAGGTCCCTAGTGGCCGGCGTAGCCGCGCTGTGTCACCGGCCGTCGCACCGCCGCGTGCTGGGTCTGCGGGGGTGTGCGCGGGGGAATTCTAGGAAAGCCAGGGGGTTAAGTGAGAAGCTTTGAGAGTGGGGGAAATAGTGTTAGCACTTAGTTGTAATTTGGGAGAAGTTCGAGGTCTCTTTTGCTAAATCACCAGCGCGCGTGGGCTTGCCTCGGCGCGGGCCGTCTTCGCATGGGCCAGCCTAGCGTGGGCCGCGCCTATAGGCCACTGCGCGCGCGCTGTTTTACGTGGGCCGCGTGGGAGAATTCGTTATTCTTTTTCATAAGGAACTATAAATAGTTTTCTAATTTAATTTCTGTGCTAATTTTTGGCAATTAATATAAAATTGTGTGGGTGTTCAAAAATTGTGAAACAAATTTTATTAGGTCCCTAAAATTGTGCTCTATTTGTTAGTTTATTTAGTTCATATATATACATGTTGATACCATGAGCTATTAAATGGTTTGAGAGTGCTCAATATTATTATGTTAAATATTGTAGGAAAATTTTGTGGTAAATTGGTGATAGCTTTAGATCTTGAAATTTTTGTGGTAGCTTCATTGTATTATTATGTGCTCACTATAATTTTTGTAGCCTTAGAATAGACTAAGCATTAGGGTAGTTAAATGCTCTTTGTTATAATATACATGAAATCACTAGTACCAATAAAGATATATCCTTAATTTGCCAAGCTAAGGGTTTGTTAGTTGAATCCAACACCTTGCTTGATGAAGATGATAGTTAGCTTAGTACCTTAGTCATTAGAGCTAGCTTAGTAGCTTAGTATGCATATTCTTAGTTTAAGAGTCCTGTTGCCTAAATGCTAAGTGTTGCATCATCATCGTATGCATGTAGAGAACGAGTTGGCGGAGATCGTGACCACCGGCGATCATGAGTTTGAGGAGATCATCGAGGAGTACGAGGAGGAGATTCTCATGCAGGAGTAGGTCCTACAGCCACCACTGACTGACTCAGCTGACACCGTGCCTGCCCAAGGCAAGCCCCAGTGCATAACCCCTTATTTTTGATAATCACTGTTTATATATGTTATGTGCATTTACGTTACAAAAATTTTATGTAAACCACATGCATAGATACACCTATCCTAAGAGTCCTACTAGTACGGGTTCGAGTTGCTGCTATGCTTAGGTTTTTGG